TATTGCCTCGTAAGTAACAGGACGTCACAGACTTGGAAATTGCTTTGGCTCAGTGCAACAGTCAGAAAGAGATAATAAAAATAAAGAATAAAAAACACTTCTAAGGAATAAATTTAAATTTAAAATAGAGTTACAGTTACTATTTACAATATACAAGTGCACATGGTGCACACAATGTAAGGTGCACTGTACTACTGTGAGCAGTACAGTGAAGTAAAGTGATGTATGATGGGCAGTAAAGTGACTTTATAAAGGGCGGGGGGACAGGTTAAGAAGTGTTCAAGAGTCCAACAGCAGAGGGGAAGAAACTGTTCTTGTGGCGGGAGATTCTAGTCCTGATGGACCGCAGCCTCCTGCCTGAGGGGAGTGGTTGGAATAGTCCATGTGCAGGGTGAGAGGGGTCGGCTGTGATACGACCAGCCCGGCCTCGAGCTCGGGCGACCTACAGGTCCTGCAGCGATGGAAGGCTGCGGCCGATCACTTCCTCTGCAGAGCGCACAATGCGCTGTAGTCTCAGTTTGTCCCTGACTGTGGCTCCAGCGAACCACACGGTGACGGAGGAGGTGAGGATGGACTCGATGATGGCTGTGTAGAACTGCACCAACATCTGTGCAGGCAGCTTGGCTTTCCTGAGCTGCCGCAGGAAGTACATCCTCTGCTGGGCCTTCTTGATGAGGGAGCTGATGGTCGGCTCCCACTTGAGGTCCTGGGTGATGGTGGTGCCCAGGAAACGGAAGGACTCCACAGAGGTGATGGGGGAGTCCATCACGGAGGGTGGGGGCGGGGGGACAGTGCTCTTCCTGAAGTCCACAATCATCTCCACTGTCTTTAACTGGTGATGCAACACTGACATTTCCCCATCGTGGGAGAGATAAAAGATCTCTTAATCTTAATCAAAGTGTTATAGCTGACATTACACACTGCTGGCAATTTTAGAAACATAATTTGGCCTTGTTTCTGAAGCATTTTGAGTTGACTTGTGTTTAAACTGTGCTATATAAATAAACTTGCCCCGTTTTGTTTAATGCAACAATGGCAACTGTACCATTAAGTCCAACCAACTATTGTATCCCTCTCATTCCTTTTAATAAGAGAGAGCATATTGTTTGACCTTGATGAAATGTGTTATTATGTGGCATATCTACTGCGAGTGCAAAGACACAGCTCTCGCTCACACAGAATCTAGAGTGGAACAGGAAATGAAAGACAAAGACATTGATATCAGAAAGACTAAAAACTCAACATAAATTGAGAAAACGGATTTGAGACTGCAGTGATAGCTCTAGCACACACTTCATTGTCTTTTGCCATTTAGAATCTAAAGTACAAAATAAGAAAACATTAGAATTGACTCTACACGTACTGGCTTCAGTTTTAGTTTTGAAAGAGCCATCGAAGGCTTTGGGCTGTACAAAAGAAAAAGAGGTTTTTAGATAAATATCTACACAGATTCCGATTTTTTTTATTTAACAAAATTATACACACAAAAATTTATCAATGTATTGATTATTTATTTATTTTTACTTAACAATTCATATCAAACTATTTATTTTTGTATGAGGCAGAGCCAAAAGTCATTGTTTCTTATTGAACTGTACAGAAATCTAGAAATAATCAAATTGAAAGTGCCTTGTATCGAGGTAGAGAGAGCCAGCCCTTGAACTTCAGGTTAGCAAAATGAAACAAAGCACTTGTACAGAAGTATATTCCAATATACAATACAATACAATACAATTTATTCTTGTATAGCCCTAGGTCACAACAGAAGTCATCTCAGAGGACTTAACAAAACCATTGAAATCACCAACACAGGTCAGAGAATCAACAGTTAAAACACATGAAGAATATAAAGCACACACAGAAGAAAATGTCCATACATGTTGTAGAATGCTAAAGTGTCCTGATCATCACCAATCCTTTCTGTTGGACACTAACTGTCCAACAAGACCCTCCTGCATCGACAAGGAAAAACTCTTAAAAAACCCAGTGGGAAAAAGTGAGAAACCTTGGAGGAGAACTAGGGAAACCCACAGGGAGGGAGACCCAATATCTTTAATATCGCCTCTCCTGCAGAGATAACTAAAAAACTGAGATTTTCCGGAGGGTAACAGTTAAACCAATGACGAGGGGCCTGCAGGGTTTCAAATAATTTCGACCAATCAGGAAGCTGCAGGGTTGAGAATGGCCAGGGCTCAACTGTCTGATTCTTTGATCTGTGTTGGTGAATTCAATGGTGTTTTTAAGTCCTCAGAGAACTACTGTTGTGATTTAGGGCTATACAAGAATAAATTGAATCGAACCAATGTAATCAAAAGAGTAAATGGTTTTGGCTGAGAATCTACAGACACCACAGGTTGGGAACCCCTCTTGTTGACATCATTCCCATCGGGTGTTCCAACCCGACCTCCAGCGAAATTGTCAAAAAGATTCATTTACCTCGTCTAAAGCAATCAACAACACGCTAAGGCCATTTACCAAGCGCCCTCTGTGTCAGAAGGAGTTAGCGAAATAAGGTTTGAATAAATTAAAATGGAAAACGCAGCATGTTTTTTAAAGATATTGAGTCATTAGCCCCAAGTCGAAGCATCTTTCAACAGATCACCAGCCGCTGCGATGTAATTAGTTCTCACGAAGAATTTTAATGAACTAAAACTTGGCTGGATTGAAAAATATAATAATTGACAATATATAGAAGCTGAAGGAGAACCAAGCTCTTTCAAAGTTCACAATTTAAACCTGCGCTTTTGCATCATGATTATTATTTGATTCAAGTTCAGACCTAGTTCCATCCTGCTTTTACCAGAAACGTTCAAGTTTGAGCTCCAGAAATGGACAATGAGAAGGCGGTCAAATCCTGCAGCTGCTGACTCAAGTCCTGGTTTAAATTTAGGGAAAAGGCGTCTTGAACTTTAAGCCTCCTCCACCTGGGATATTTTTGAAAATGTCAAAATAAATTTCTCTGCACATCCACTGCTGCTACTAGTGTTACTGCTTCTCCACTTGATTTCACGATCACCAATGACCTTCAATAAAACCTTCATAAATAAACCTTAAAATGCATTGCTGCTATTAAAAGGTATTGACATGCAGGACCAGTAAATGTACCTTTTGGACAGAGACTAGCATCCACAATCAACACCTCCTTGTTAGCCACATCTTCATAGTTAAATCATCAATTGCGTTTTCAAGTTAATGAATGAATATAATTTTGTCTTGAACTGAGAACCAAAATTTGGCACACGATGGAGTGAGCAAGATGTTTAGAAATTTCTTTAAAATAAAAACAATCAATTCTGCCTAACTTTATACATAAACCTCAAATGGGGATGGCCCTTGGCAAGCTCATACAGACTCATTCAAAAAGGGTTGGGCCTGGGTAACAATGGTCCATCCTCAGTATGGCATTTACAGATGGATAATGTATTGAAACACATCCAAACAAACTAATAAATACATCATTCTAAAAGGTACCGATAATAGTAGTGGCTGGGGTACCCGACTTGTTCATCGATACACTTTCTTTGAGCCAACAGAGAGCCTTGGAAAAACAGTATTATAAACCAGGCCACTATGATTGGATTGACGACGAAACCCTGTCATCAGTCAGATCTGTGGAGGAGAGCCTTACTGTAAGCAAAATTAAGATGAATAGATCCTTTACTTATTCCACAGTGTGTCAATAAAATGTTTTGAGCCATGAAATAGCTAACATCCAACCCCATCAGATATTATCATTGCTCGTATTAAACTTTGTTATGGTCACTAAATGTTTTTATTGCTAAAAAAACCTGAATTCTTCTTAGTGCTCAAGTGACCTGTAACTTGGCCTGGTTATACAATACTTATAGCATATTGTGACACATTCAACTTAAGTGAAAATAATTAACAGGTGCAGAAGCGACTAGAAATTTGACATGTGTCTTTAAGTAACCACCACGCAAAATGAAAAATGTTTTGTTCTTTTGTCTTAAAGGTTTATTATCTTTGAAGCAGCTGGTGTGTTGGCTTTTCTCCATTAGGAAGACACACTCCAGACCTGTTCCATGCGGGGGACATTCGATCATCTTACACTGCACTAATTTAGGCTTCGCAGGGGAGAGCCGTATCACATTAAGGTCTGCCAAAGTCCTGACCGGGTCCTGCCCATGGACCCAATCGCTCCCAAATCATCAGGAAATAAAACACAGACGAGACAGGAGTGACTAAGCAACGAGTTAGCTGCTGGACTGGCCCTTAGTGATCATAGATGTAGTTTGAAATGATGAGTTGTGGAAATAATGACAGGATGACTGGACTGGGGCGAAGCAGCCAATGGGACCCTGTCAAAACTATTCATCTCAAATTAGTCATCATAAAGAGGAAATGTCAAAATGTGTCTACTCAAAAATGGTAATGGCATGCAATTAAATTAAGTGACCTAACACAGCTCTTCACAAATGGGGTATTCATCCCTATCTGCTCCCATACAAAGTGATACACCAAATACTACATGGGCTACATGAAAAAGCTAGCATTGAGGAATTCATTGCAACAAGGTAATCCAAGGACATACAGCTCATTACCAACTTTGTCTACAGCAATGCAAAACTCCCATTCGAAACATGGCATTTTTGCGTTTTATACATAAACATTTCCAAAATATTACGTTTTTTTGCCAATAGTAATTTTGTGATTATACGATATGTATTTTGGAATTCGGCTGATTGGAGAACTTTGAAACATTGAGTCACCGATAAACACCTATGCTGTGCTTTACATGTTTGCGCTTATAAATATGTGCAGGAGGTTGTGTAAAAGTTCAAATTAAAGTAAAAATATAGGACTTGTATTAACACAAGGTAAGCCGAAAAGACTAGATCAAATCCAAAAAGGCGAAATGGTGTGTAATTAGTTGATCACTTTAGAACAACTGTGGCTAAAACAGAATTACGCAAACTTGCTAACATCTTAAAACGGAGTTCGGAAAAAAATGACAAGATGAGTTTCAACACAAGACTTACCTAGCAATGAAATCCCAAAGAGTAGACTAATTAAGCAGCTTTTGAGGTTCATAATTGGCCAGTTCCGTGCCATTGTTGCCCCGCTTCGCCTCGCTGTATAACCCCCACAGCGAAGGGGGTGGACCGCGCTCAACCTCCCCGTGAGAAGTGCCTCTTCCTCGGGCTGCGCTTGGCACCAATGGCTCGCGACCAACCACCTAAGCACTGCCACCAGTCTCCAGGATTAACCACGCACACGCACACCTCCCAAGCCGGTAAATGGTGGCTTTTGCGGTCTCCAGCGATTTTAAAAACTCTCAAAGCGACCGATCCGGGATTGGGGTAGTCCAGGAGGGAACGTATCCAAGCGAAGAGCGCACAAGTCGGGTGGAAAGTAGTGGGAATGTCAAGTGAGAGATGGAACAGTGGCCGCCGGAAGTAAGGTGACCGACTGTGGAGGAGGGAGGTCCCATGCGAGCGGGGGGAAAAAAATATATATATATATAAAGAGAGAGAAGATCAATGTCTTTCAATAGCGTTTTCGTGGGCTTTACGCGCCGCGAGCTGTCGTGACATTTGGAGAAGTTCATTCTGCATACCTAAAGAGCACATCTGCGCTCTGTGATGGGGTTTCAAATGATTGCTCTGTTTATTTATTTATTATTATCTATTCCAAACAAGCACGAGGTATACGCATTATTGTTCACAGAAAAATAGAATCAAATAATATTAATATAACAACAAATAAGGGAAACTGTTATATTAGTTCAATTTCCTCTCAGTAAAATACAAAAAAGAAGCAATATCCTGCAGATACACACACACAAGACAAAGGTGCACACACAATAAGATACACACAAGACTACACACACACACACACACACACACACACACACACAAGACTAAGACACACGCATTCACACAAGCAAGACACATACCTAAAACATTTACTGACCCTACACCTCTCCGTCTGTTGGCTTGGGTAGGTCATAATGATAATGTAATTTGAGAATAAAAAAAAAAACAATTAAAGTTTAAGATGATGTGGTATGTGTTAGGGTTAAGTAAGCTATGCAAGAATATGTACGTCTTTAGAAATCTAAACTCCATTCATGAAAAAGTGCTGTCAAGAACAAGATATTACTGTGTTTCACATACTTTTAACTGCAAAACTTAGAATAAAAGGCTGTTTTCGTAGGCCTTATTAACCGCGTAAGCTAACAGTCCTGTGTCCACCAGACCTACTTTGACCCTACTCTACTTTACTCGGCTCTACTCTACTTGGAAGTCATGGTTGCTAGTGTACAGGACCAGATATCATAGTGTAATGGAAATGCAACCAGGTAGAGCAGAGTAGAGCCAAGTAAATCCGAGTGGGGCCGGTGGATACAGGGCAAATGATTTTAATCAATTAAAAAACATTTAGTCAGCCATTTCAAGCACAATTTTTCTCTTGATATAGATACATAATTACAAAACCGTATGAAGTACTGTATGTTCTCTATTCTAATGCTATTTTAGAATGTTGCCTATGTTTTCAACTGGTTTACTTCAGGCTTTAAGAATAATAGCGTCTTGGCAGCATTTGTTTTATTCTAATACCAAGTAAGCAATTTGATCCATTCGAACAGGGACTAGCTGTATAAATTGCTTTTATGGAGATCTACTTTCGCTTTAAACCTTGCAAAGCCGCTCCACCAGATCAGCCCCCCTTGACTAATCTGTTTTGTTTTCTTTATTTGCATGTCTTAGACTTTCAATTCAGTTTCTTGTAATGTTAATAGGTGATTCTGCAGCCACTTTTAAATATAAATAGATTTAACTCAGTGGAATAAACACAAGGACTTAACTTGGAGGGATGAGAAGAAAAGGCTGCTCCGCCTTATCTAACCCTCCTCCATCCTGGATCTAGAGCCTCAGTTCCGGATCTACAGCCTCCGTCCTGGATCTAAAGGCCTCAGTTCTGGATCTATAGCCTTAGTCCTGTCTACAGCCTCAGTCCTGGATCTATATATTGTCAATAAAACATGCTTTCTATTTTCAAACTTCATTGAGCCTCTCTGGGGTGATCTCTAATGTGCAGTTCTTGCAAAGCAGCCAAGGAATGTACAGGAACTGGAGACTTTTCTGTCTGAGCGTGTGAACTCTCAAGCTCATCTATATACGATACACTTTATGGATCTCACAATGGAGAAATGTACATGTGACATTTGGCATAGACGCAGATTATGCAAATGACAGAAGTGTGCAACATGTTAAAGGTAAAAAACATAGTCTGTGCAGGATATAATTACGAACAATAAAAAAGTGGCAATAGCAGGGCTAGTTTTTCAGTCCTAGTGCAGGTCATTAGTGACTTAAAGTTTTGACTAGCACCCTCCAGTCCCTCACCTCCCCTGAGGTCTCCTGAGGCTCACAGAGTCCAGGGGCCTCCTGTCCCTCACCTCCTCCACAGAGTCCAGATAGCAGCCCAGAGTGGAGCTCGAAGTGAGGCCTTCAATCCAATCTAATCTTTTGTCGCCCTAAATCACAGCAGTAGTTGTCTCGTAGGACTTTACAAAGCTGTCGATTGGCCAACACAGATCAGACAATCAAACAGTTTGAATACAAGAAATGCCATCATAAAAAAACACATAAGGGACAGATAACCAACGTCCACAAATGTGTTTGAATGAGGAGCGTCCTGGATGTGTTGGAACAACTCTATAAACCCAGTGGGGGAAAAGTTAGAAATTCTTGCACTAATGAGATAATAGGATCCTATTTTACTGGATATTGGATTAGTAGGTAACATGGGTTATGGCAGGAGGCAAAGGAATGTCTGGGTTTTAATGGGGGGCAGTGTGTCGCAGAGCTTGGGGGGTCCAACTCCCACTCCTCTGCATGTTTACACACACACAAAGAACCTCGGGTCGAAGATCAGGACCCAGAGCCACTGCAGGTTTTCTCACCGCGGGGCCAAAGGGCACGACTGCACAAGTTACACCCATCCTCCTATTTATAGTTATGTTATTGTGACCTGACTGTTTACCAAGTTAGCATAGGTTTAAAAGCTAGTAAAGCTAACTGCAAAGCCAGACACACCAGGTACAAGCCCAGGCAACTACTTTGAAATTCAAACACACTCACTTTATTACAAACACTTTTAAAATGCTGTCTTCTATAAATGTTCATCTTTACGTGCGTGATGTACATTGTTGAGCCCAAAGACCAGCGAGAGACCACAGAGAGACAAGAGAGAGACCAGAGAAATATCACAGAAAGAAAGAGCAGAGAGACATTAGAAAGAGACCAGAGAGAGACCAGAGAGAGACCAGAGAAATATCACAGAGAGAAAGAGTGAGAGACACCAGAAAGAGACCAGAGAGAGACCAGAGACCAGAGAGACCCGAGAGAGAGAGCAGAGAGAGAGAGAGAGCAGAGAGAGAGACCAGAGAGAGAAAGAGAGCAGAGAGAGAGAGAAACCAGAGAGAGACTAGAGAGAGAGACCAGAGAGAGAGACCAGAGAGAGGACCGAGAGCTGCTGCTCTCACCCCAGGGTCAAAGGTCACGACGGCACAAGTTACACCCAGGCTCCTGTTGTCATAGTTTTGTTATCGTCACCTGCTGTTTACCGACCAATGTTAGAAAAGGTTTCAGCACGTGACAAGTTTAACACTAGAAGTCCTTGCTCTGGTGGACCAGCTGAGCCAGAACCAGTCCAGGACCAGCACCCTAAAATTAACTGCCATAGAATGTTGGTTGCCAAGCGACTGAAAATGGCTAAAGTTGATGTTTTTTCCCAGAGCAGTCAAAATGACAGCTATGGGAGGTGAAGGGAGTACTTCTCACATTCATATAAAGAAGCAATTATCTCATTTAAAAAAAAAATGACCTCAAAATGAACTAGAAACAGAAAAGTCAGAGGACCAATAATGTACGTGAGCAGTAATTATAATCTACCCAGGAAAATCTCACAAGGGTTTTCTAATCACCAAAAGCATGGTTTGCACATTGAATAAGCCTGTCACGATATTTGATGGATGGACTTTTTATATGCAATAGAGATTTATGCGATTTTTTATGTAAAATAAACAAGTTTTAACGGTAAAGGATAAAATACTTTACTTTTTTGCTAAATTTGACAAATTCTGCTGTCTTTTAAAGCTGGGGTACCTAACTTTCAGACAAAGCACTACAATAAAATGTCCATGTAACTAGTTCCTTGCTCACATGTATTTGCGGTCGCCGTCACATTTTCAGTCAGAAAAAGGACATATAGAAGACCACCCTCATCAGCCAATCAGCTTTCAGCCATAAGCGTCAAACAGTGACTCACAGGGCGAGTGTGTGCAAAAGATTATATTTGTATGGGAAAAGCTCTTCTAATGCCAAGGCTCTTTCTTACACAAAGGATGTTTTAAAATGAATACGGTATGTTGCGGTCATATTTGTTCAGTTTTAATCTCTAGCTGTTTTTTGGCGCAATGTACTGTTTATGAAAAATACAAAAGTTAGATTCCCCAGCTTTAATGCCAAACACAATGTCAGTGTGTGTCAGTCTCAATTATTTTTCTGAATCACGATATTGCCAGTGCAGCTTCAGCAGACTGGAGGGAGTTGTTTGTAGGCGTTCCATTCAAAATCTGACCCAATTTAATATTAATGGTAAACTAAAACTATATGGATAGGACATTGATTCAGTATAAACAAGTTCCTGATTTATTTCTGGTTAATAAAGTTGAAATTTACAAGAATCTGAACGTAACGAGGTGGAGGATAATAGACATAGTCAGCTGGTTATGCTATACTCAGGCTATGAATAGACAGATGGCGCCACCTGCTGGACAATAGGTTTTAAAAGTTGCTATAACCGCACCATTTTCAGCAGGGTTTTTGTATTTCAGAATACATCATTTGGTGATTACGATTGTTTCGTTAACTGTTTATTTGAAAAGATCCACCATCGCAGAAGGGTCTAAGAACTCTGAGGGTCCGGGCGCATTTATGAACATGTGTCATCCTCCTTATTTATGACATATTTCAATGATACAATATAGGGTAGACATATTGTATTATATTCACTTTGTGTTTTAAGCTTTTTTGTCATTATAAAAAAGAAAGTAAAACTAAATGTTTAAATTGTGTATTTGAGACTTGACTGATACATATTTACCAAGGCCTGCGCTAAACCACACATGTACAAAAAGCCTTATGCAAAGGAATGATTTGACTTGCGAGTTAGAAAAATACCCGCCAGTTGAGTTCCCGGATATCTCAAACTATCTAATGTTACAATCAAGCTTTTGCACTGCTAAAAAAATGAAGGCTTGGACTTTTTTGTCTGTGGGTGGGTTTTGGAACTCGCAGTTAAGGTCCTGAAGGACAAATATGCATCGTAAAGAGCCGTGTAAGTAACGATTGGTGTATGAACTTGTCATCAACAAAATGATGCGTCAACATGTGTGCTGTGTTCTTTTCAGGTCAAACATTCACAGTGTTCATCTAAAACGCCAACTCATACCTGAAAGTTAATCAAAAAAAAGATGGGGATGTAATAACTGCGCATTGTGTCAACATGGCTAGGTAAATAAATAATCCTTAGATGTAAAAGCGTTTGCTAGTTTTTTTAATCTCTTCACAAGGAACCCTACTGTATCCTTTATTGTTTTTTTCTGATTCAACCAAACAAGGGTCTTGTCTCATCGTATGATTTTTTTCAAATAAGTAATTTGTATCATTTATGTTTCATAGTGAAGAAGATGCAATGATTAAATGATGTCAGTGTTACAACCTAGTATGAGCTCAGAGGCTCTGACACATTTGAAACAATCAGGTAAAGAGAGCCTCAGTGTGTTACGGGGCTTCATTTGCCCATCACTATTGTGTACCAGGTCCGGCCATAGCAAGACACATTCTTGTCACAAACATAACTTCCACAGACCTCAGCTCGTGCTAACGCTATAATTAGCGCCATAGTGTTATTTATTGCAGCAGATCTGAAGCCTTATTTGGTGGTGGAAAATTGTGAATAAAATTGTGACTCTAACACCGGAAATTAAATCAAATTGTGGATTTGGAGAATTGTGACACCCCCTAACAATTACAGTTCAGTGCTTAAATAAGGTTCACTTGAATAAAGGTTCACATGTAGACTGGACGCAGAGTGGTCAGACCGGTTTGGGAGCAACAATGAATATATCAATATATCATATGTATTGAATATGTCAAAAAAAAAATTGCATATTCATAATATTTGACAACATACTCAATAGGAACCTTGAGCAACATTTGGGATACACTTAAAGCTGCACTAACTGACTTTGGGATTTTGAAGCCGCGGACTCGCTGGCCTCGCTCTTTCTGCTCCCCTCCCCGCACCCACGAAGCTATCGCCCCCCACACACACCCACTGTTGTTTACGAAGCTAGCGTCTCCCAATATGGATAATACATGGACATAGCACTGTACAATGGGTTTGAATCTATTCTCATGGTCCACAATTGCAGGAAATCACACACGACCCTAATTCTAACCACAAAGACACAGTAGCTAAAAGGGCAACACAACGAGTGCACAAAATGACTCTAGAAATAAAAAAACACACTTTATTCCAAACCTTTTAAAATTTAAGTATACATATTCATATTTACATGGATTGGTGTACATTGTTTTGGTCTGTCTTATAAGCTGTTTTTATACTGACCCAGGATTGAAGACCAGAGAGAGACCAGAGAGAGAGACCAGAGAGAGGGACCAGAGAGAGAGCCCAGAGAGAGAGACCAGAGAGAGGGACCAGAGAGAAACACCAGAGAGAGAGACCAGAGAGAGAGACCAGAGAGGGACCAGAGAAAAACACCAGAGAGAGACCAGAGAGAGGGACCAGAGAGAGAGCCCAGAGAGAGAGACCAGAGAGAGAGACCAGAGAGAGAGACCAGAGAGAGACCAGAGAGAGAGAGACCAGCGAGAGAGACCAGAGAGAGAGAAACACCAGAGAGAGAGACCAGAGACCTTGGTCTGAATGCGCCATTTAAATAATCATAAATTACTTAATATACTACTTAGAGAGAGAGACTACAGAGAGACCAGAGAGAGACACACCAGAGAGACTAGAGAGAAAGACCAGAGAGAGACACACCAGAGAGACTAGAGAAAGAGACCATATAGACAAGAGAGAGAGAGAGGGCAGACGAAAACACATAATAACGAGCTACGGCAGGTTTGTAAAACATTTCAAACATGTTTTTTTTTTTTTTACGAGGACATCTTCATTAAGGGAAGAGCAGCACGAGCAACAGCCAAACCTCAGACAGTCAAAGCTTCACTCTCCCAAACACGACTCCAGGGCTCATTATGCTGCCGTTGTCATGGCCACTCACACACAGCCAATCAGCTTCCAGCCCAACACATCAAATAGTCACTCACAGGGCTAATTCTTACACAAAAGATATGTTCTTAATTTCACAAGACTTTCTGACAAACAAGTATTATTTCTGAAGAAAGTGATGTACACATATTGGTACTGCTATAGTTCAGTTGCAGTAGATAAATAGATTATTTATTAAATTCAGTTGTATTTAGGCTTCCATTCAATATCTGACCCATTTTAAGATAAAAATGGGTAAAATAAAACTATGCAATGGCCAGAACATTGATTATTAGAAGTTATGATTATTGAAAAGTTCCTGCCACATTTGTTGTCATTAAACTTGTAATTACTGGAGAATATTTTCTATTGCTGACATAACTAACATTTTCAGCAGAATTTTTGTATTTCAGGATACAACATTTGGTGAAGGACAGTGAAGATCCGGAACAATTTATAGTATTTATGAACATGGGTCGTCCCGCTCCCGGTGGATCAATGGCTCCTATTTATTATGAGACATATTTCAATAATAATATTACATCCCGCCTGGCATATTGAATGATTCACTTGTTCTAGACAAGAGAAACCAGAAGGAAACTAGAAAAAGACCAGAGAGAGGGACTATAGAGAGACTAGAGAGAGAGACCAGAGAGTGACCAGAGTGAGGGACTATAGAGAGGCTAGAGAGAGACTAGAGAGAGAGAGAGACCAGAGAGTGACCAGAGAGACGGACTAGGGAGAGACAGAGAGAGACACAGGGAGACCAGAGAGAGACCAGAGAGTGACCAGAGAGATGGACTAGGGAGAGACCACAGAGAGACCAGAGAGAGAGAAGAGAGAGAGACCAGAGAGCGACTGGCCAGAGAGAGAGACTAGAAACTCGTGGGAATCACTCTATAGCAGACAGGTAAACTTATCACAGTATTATTTCTAAGTTGATAGAGAAGTAAGAGAGCTCATGCTTCAATAAAAAAGTCTCAGTTTGGTGATGGATCTTCATACTCTTTAGGACCTGGAAACGTTCTTTCTGGGCTTTGGAAGAGGCGGCGGGCTCTCGGCATCATTGCCAATGGTGGGTTCGGACATCTGTGAAAAGAACAAACAATACTGGCAATTTTGGTGACAGAAAAGACATGTGAAATTAAAGGAGACAAAACGTATGAGTTGCGAATGTTCTGGTATTACACACTAGCAATAGGACAGTGAAGCGGCCGTAGTAGTAATAGCAGCTGAAGCGGTATTAAGCATAGTCGGATCTCAGAGGCGAAGCAGGTCAGGACTTTGCCAGTACTGTGATGGGTGACTGCTGTAATATCAAGTAGCAATAATCGTGAAAAAAAAAAGTTAAAACTGCTGTGCCTTTTGGTTCAACAGAGGGAAGCACTCGTTCCTAACATCTTAATTTCTATGTGGTCTCTTTCCATTTTCCCCTTTAACCCAAAGGGGCAGGGAAAGATTAATGCATAGAATGGTCAAACGGCTTCATGATTATACGACTGTGAAATGCGTGATATAAACATGTTTGGCTATAAGACTGTACGGTGAGAAACTTATGTGTTGTGCTGGACATCTGAAGTTCTCCTACGGGAATCATTAAGGTGGTGCTAGCGGCAACTGTAGCAGCAGTGGTAGTAGTAATTAGTAGAAAGGTTAGTAGTGCTACAACATTTATGGACATTTTTTAACATTTGTGGACTGCCTCTTATGAACCAATAGCTATGAGTGATTCATCATTGCATGTCTCGTGTTTGAACTGTTTTGAATCTGTTTTAGCAAATCGACGGATCAATTTAGGGCTATACTAAAATAAATAGTCTTGTATTAAATAGTAGAAGAAGTAGCTGCTATAGCATTAGTAATAGTAGTATTTGCAGCTCTGACCTGGCCTTTCTCAGCTTGTCTCCGTGGTCCGGGCAGAGGTTGTCCCGTGATGGGGTCTGGAGGTCTGGGCCGATTCAGTCTGGATTTGGGGACTCTGGGTCCTGTGTGCCCTGGGCCCTGGTTCACTAGGGGGCGGCTGGAGTGGGCAGGATCTCGTAAGTGGGTGGGGTCTCGTGAGTGGGCGTGGCCTCTCTGGTTGCTGTGGTGATACTGTTGATTGTTTGTGGTCCACTGGAGGCGCAGCTCTTGTTCTTCTGAAAATGTGTGATAGTAGCCGTCAAGTGAAGAAAAGCAGCCCCACAACATGATGCTGCCCCCCCTTATTTGACATTAGGAATGGTACACTGAGGGTGAGGTAATTTTGAACCATATAACGTTGATATTTCATTTCATTTCATTTTTTTTTTTGAAATGAAATGAAATGAAAACTTCAACTTGCCTTAGCGACCATCTTAGCCCTTGTCACGGCACAAAGCTAATCAAAAATGGTGCTATGAGACTTGGGTGGCATCTCTGACTGCCACCCCCCTGACCCAGAAATGGATTAAAGGGTAGAAAATGGAAATGGATGGATAGTTACAATACAATACAATACAATACAATTTATTCTTGTATAGCCCTAGGTCACAACAGAAGTCATCTCAGAGGACTTAACAAAACCATTGAAATCACCAACACAGGTCAGAGAATCAACAGTTAAAACACATGAAGAATATAAAGCACACACAGAAGAAAATGTCCATACATGTTGTAGAATGCTAAAGTGTCCTGATCATCACCAATCCTTTCTGTTGGACACTAACTGTCCAACAAGACCCTCCTGCATCGACAAGGAAAAACTCTTAAAAAACCCAGTGGGAAAAAGTGAGAAACCTTGGAGGAGAACTAGGGAAACCCACAGGGAGGGAGACCCATATGAGAAAGGGATCCGCTCCTCCGGACGGACAGACTAATGATCTAGGACCTAAGCTAGCACCTTTTAAAAAGTTACCTTTTATGTGATGTTTCTTCTTTCTTCTGTTGATGGAGCAGCAAATGACGGTAGCAACAATTAGCACAAGCACAAGTCCTGTCAAAGAAAGCATTTTAAAAAACTATACATAAGTTTAATATTTAGAATAATAATATAATAATAATATATTTACAACATTTGAAATATCATTATGACCAGCCAACAAAGTAAGTAATAACAGCGGGCGTGTTGCTATGGTCTAAGGAGCCACAAGGAGGAGCAACCGTGTCTCAAGTTATATAGTTATATAGTAGTATAGTTTTGTCTGCATACATTATAAGACAAAACAAGAATAGCTCTAAAAGAAAATCTGCACATGACAAGGGGAAAATAATATCTACAACAGCATGTATCTTTAAAGCTGGGTTTTCAAACCACAGGTGGTGATAGAACCAAACCACAAGATTGGTTCTATCACTAGTTTCCACATGCATGTGTTTCTGGCTTCTGTCATTTCTTATATATACTATCATATCCACCCACACTGGGCCAATCAGCTCTCATCCAGAAGCGTCAAATAGTGACTGACAGTAGATAACCCCCTTTCATTTTCTTCCACTTTCGTTTGTTGCCGGGTTGCGGGGGCAGCAGTCCAGGCAGAGACACACAGACTTTCCTTTGCACACAGACTCCTGAGGCGTTCCCAGCTGAGAAACACCTCTGTGTCCTGGGTCTTCCCCTGGGCTACTCCTGGTGAAATGTGTCCAGAACATCTCTCCAGAGAGGAGTCCAGGAGGCGTCCGTAACAGATGCCGTCATCTGTTACGAGAGCAGCAGCTCTACTCCAAGCTCCTCTTCGGTGACTGAGCTCCTCTATCTCTAAGAGCACGCAGCCACTCTGCGGAGGAAGCTAACGTGGACCGCTTGTATCTGTGGCAAAGATTAACTTGTTTTCTAATTAGATGAAGACAATATTTTACTTCTACGAGACACTGCAGAGCAAGTACAGTATTTATGAAAGAAAAAATTTACCCAAGCTTTAAATGCCTCTTACCTCCTCCTCCCGCCAGAATGGCCACCATGAGCCAAAATTCCAATCCAAGCAACTTATTTGTATCTTCTGGATTCGCAGGATCCGATAAAACAGTAGAGTCTGAGTATTAATGTTAGCAAAGAGCATGTGCATTAGAAGTCTTTGACGCTCTCCTTTATCATGATTTTCACTCACCAGGTTTCAAGCAGTTTTGTTGGACAGGATCGCTGATTTCTGAGCTCACATGATTGGACACATTGCAGGAGAATGGATTTGAAACATCTGATTTGGAAGTCCGGACTAAAGTGGGTTTATTTTCATTGGGCAACAACCGTCCACTTTCCAACCACACGTACGTTACAGGAGGGACCTGTGACAAACATTTGAATATGAAGTTCAATTACAAGCGTCATTCTCACAAAACACATTTATATTTATGTGTGAGAGCTCTCACCTGCGACCCAGAGCAGTTGAACTGGACTTGTCTCAACATTGAGTCACATTGAAATGTCACTTTGGGCTTCAAAACCCTCTCTAAAACAACACAAGGTTATTACAATTAGCAAGACAAGTATCACAGCCTGGTCACAGCTGGAGTAGTTTCAGAGGACTTAACAAAATGATGATTCGCCACCACAGATTAGAGAATCAAACTGTTCAAATAAAGACATGTATTGACAAAAACACATTGGTCCATAAGGGGCTGAAACCAATGTCCATAAATGTTGATACATTTTCATGGATGTAGTTGGATGTAGAGTCTCCAGCATCGGCAAGGAAAAACTAATAAAAAGTGAGACTTGGCTCAAATTATATAGCTTCTGTAGACAGCCACAATTTTATTCATTCATACTTTGGTCTTATTTTTGCCCATTCTTCCTGGCAACAGTCTTCCAGTTCTGAGACATTCTGATCTGTCTGATTCTGTCTCTGTCTTTTCAATAGTTTGGGTTAGGGTGAAAGTTAACCCTGCAGGATAATCACTATGTAGAAGCCATTTTGTTTTTAACTTCTGTTTTCAAGATAAGATAAGAGTTCCTTTATTTGTCCCACAGTGGGGAAATTTCGATGTTGCAGCGCACAGACAGGACAGTAGTAAGAGCACACAAAATATACAAAAAAAGTAGTTGCTGTATTACTTAACTATCTGTAAATGCTGTAAATGCTTCGATACCAGTCTTTCAAAATAAAATATATATATATGAAGTAGTGAAGAGTTAAATACTGTACATATAGTGCAAGATAATAAGTAGATAAGTAAAGTGACATTGTTCAGTGACATTCTGAAGGAGCAGTATTGCACATTGCACATGATTTAGTATTTACTTATTTACAGATGGATGACATTTGCAGGCTCAGCAGTTCTTATTGTACAGTCTGACAGCAGCAGGAAGGAAAGACCTACGGAACCTCTCCTTCACACAGCAAGGGTGAATTAGTCTGTCACTGAAGCTGTTCTCCAAAGCAGAGAGAGTGTCCTGCAGGGGGTGACAGTCATGGTCCAGCATAGATGTTAGTTTGCTCAGGACCCTCCTGTCCCCCACCTGCTGCACTGTGTCCAGGGAACAGCCCAGGACAGAGCTGGACTTCCTGATGACCTTGTCCAGCTTCTTCCTGTCCCTCTCTGTGATGCTGCTGTTCCAGCAGACCACACCGTACAAGATGGCTGATGCCACCACAGAGTTATAGAAGGTCTTCAGGAGTGGCCCCTGCACTCCAAAAGACCTGAGCCTCCTCAGGAGGTAGAGCCGGCTCTGGCCCTTCACACAGACATTAAAGCCGGGGTACCTAACCTTTTCATGAATAATACATTTGCTTTGTGAGGGGACTTTATAAAGAGCAGTAGGGGACTTCTAGAGGGCGGGGGGACAGGTTATGAAGTGCTCAAGAGTCCAACAGCAGAGGGGAAGAAACTGTTCTTGTGGCGGGAGGTTCTAGTCCTGATGAGGGGAGTGGTTGAAACAGCCCATATGCAGGGTGTGATGGGTCAGAAGTGATACGACCAGCCCGGCCTCGAGCTCGGGCGACGTACAGGTCTTGCAGCGATGGGAGGCTGCGGCCGATCACTTCCTCTGCAGAGCGCACAATGCGCTGTCGTATCTGCTTGTCCCTGACTGTGGCTCCAGCGAACCACACGGTGATGGAGGAGGTGAAGATGGACTCGATGATGGCCGTGTAGAACTGCACCAACATCTGTGCAGGCAGCTTGGCTTTCCTGAGCGGCCGCAGGAAGTACATCCTCTGCTGGGCCTTCTTGATGACGGAGCTGATGGTCGGCTCCCACTTTCCTGGGTGATGGTGGTGCCCAGGAAACGATAGGACTCCACAGAGGTGATGGGGGAGTCCATCACGGAGGGTGGGGGCGGGGGAACTGTGCTCTTCCTGAAGTCCATAATCATCTCCACTGTCTTCTGGGCTCCAGGTTGTTACCACTGCACCAGGACACCAGCCGGGCCACCTCCCTCCTCTAGGCGGACTCATCGTTGTTGGAGATGAGTCCGATGAGGGTGGTGTCGTTCTTGATGAGCTGCACGGAGTCGTAGCTGGCGGTGCAGTGGTTGGTGTACAGGGAGAAGCTCGTCTACAGATCTGTTGGCTCTGTAGGCGAACTGCAGGGGGTCCAGGAAGGGGGAGGTGAAGGACTTGAGATGGGAGAGGACCAGGCGTCAGTGCCCCACAGTAAGTAAGTAATGTGGGGAAATTTCAGTGTTGCATCACCGGTTACAGAACAGTAGGAATGAGGAGTACATAGCACAATTTAAATGAACAATAACTCTTTACTAAAATAAAAGTTCTAACTTTAGCATAATAATACTACAAAGAAAGTCATAAAGTCATATATATGTTTAGATACATACTCCGAACACACAGGGAGAAAGATTTTGAACCGGTCTCCCTGCCGTTTTCGTTTAACGTCTCAGCAGAGTAAGTCCCACCGTCAGACTGGTCCAGTTTGGGAAAGATCAGCGCCCCCTCCTGTGTGACTGAGTATATTTTTCCTGAGGAGGTTTTTGTTTGGATTCTACTTTTACTGTCAAATATGATTTGACGATCAGAGTTCCGCCATCTCAGCCTGTGGTCTTTCGGCCGAGGCAGAGGCAGAGGCAGGCGGAAGGGGCTGCCCATGGAAGCATAGTGTGTACAGTCTGCGGTGGACTCTGTGGACACATAGAAACAAAGCAAGATGAGAGACTGCAATTCTCTCTCAGTCTCTGGTCTCTCTGTTCTCTATGAAGTTTCTGGTCTCTCTCTGAAGCCTCGAGTCTCTCTATGTCTCTCTTTGGTCTCGCTCAAGTCTCTGGTCTCTCTGGCTTCTCTCAAGTATCTGGACTATCTCAAGTGCAGAGAGAGACCTGAGAGACCAAAGACCTGCTCTGGTCTCTCTCAAGTCTCTGGTCTCTCAGGTCTCTGGTCTCTCTCTCTGGTCACTGGTCTCAAGTCTCTGATCTGTCTCTCTCTGGTCTCTTTCTGTCTTATCTTTCACTGTGAAAAGAAAGATTGGACACCTTAGAAGAGTTTCAGCAACATCTCTCTGGTGATGTCCTCATTTCCAACCAGGAAGTGAAATGATATGATAATAAATATGGGAAAACTAGAACAAATTATGAAAAACCTTTAGCAACTTTGTAATTATAATAATTTAGGCTGTTTTTTGTTAAAAGTGAGGTTTAAACTGTCCTATTATTGTTGTATTATTATCATATACTATAATGTTATAGGGGGATTGTCCTGTCAAATCTATACAGTCAAAACCTCCTCTTGTGATATTTTTCCAGTATTGTTTCAAACTCAAACTGAAACTGCAGTTTTCTTACGTCCTCGTACCATTTCTTAAAGGTGTCAAACCACAGGAAGAATGCACCTTTCAGCTTCATGCTTTGCAGCTAAACTTCACCACACAAACCCGGGCTTTTGAGCTGAGACTATAGTCAAACTGCAAAAAATGATCAAATATGGGGTAATAAATGCTTGAATCGAGAACAAGATCCACCAATGGGTAAAAATCCATTTAGTCTTATTTCAAGTTGCTGTCGCTTTATTTTCTCAAAGGGAGACATTTCTCATATCTTTTTATACGATATAATTTTGCTTTGTCCCATTGGCATATCTTGTTTTATGGCAGTCAGGATGTGTTGGCCGAATTTGAGCAATTTTGACTTATTATTCATCACTTTCTGAAGTGTACCACAGAAATAAAGGACAAAGGACTAAATGTAGATGGGTGTAGACAGTTCAAAGCTGGTAAATGTATCTAAATCCTTCACTGACTTAAAGCAGGGGTATCTAACTTTACTTGACATAAATAATCATCTATCTATCTATGTGTCACTATCTATCCGTCTAGAAAAGTAGACAAATAGTTTATACAGTAACAGTAAAATAACTGTTAAATCTGCTTTAATAATAAAAAAGTCATTTATGTCAGATATGAGTTTTTATATTTTCATTTCAATTCAGCACCATTCAATAAAACCAAATCTGAATTGTAAAATGTAGCAGACTGTGACAGCTCATGGTTGAAAGTCTATTGTCTTTGTATTGTGCAAGAAACAGTTCATTGCATTAAACCACAACTTCCTCCAAACTCTTTTCATCTGGAGCCAAGGTTAGCTAAACCGTGCTTCTGTTTTAGGGGAGATTCACATCCAGTTTCATTTCTTCACTTCAATTCCATTAGTTTGGACAACATGTTGGAAGACATCACCACAACAAGTAACAGGACTAAGAAACCAAACCAAAACAAATCTATGAAATGTGGCAGTAAATGTGCAGAAATAAAAATTGTTTGAGGGTCTAAAGAGCTGCATATAAACCAGTGCATTATTATGATTGATAAGATTGATATTATTATTATCATTATTATTATTATTTATACATATCATTTTGTGTGCATAGGCATTAAATTCATTTTCATAATGGAGCAAGTTTTGACTGGGAAAACAGTATTTGATTTGATATATTTGATATTTGATAGAAAATGTTCTACTTCTGTTGAAAATAATTACCTCAAACTAAAAATGAAAATATATTGTAATAGGTTCAAGAACATTTTAATAATGTAAAAGTAGCAGCAGCAGTTGTAGAAGTATAGCAGTAGTAGTAGCAGCAGCAGCAGGTGTCGTAGGAAACATATTTTGTTCCTGAAGAGGTAAAACTAAAACTACTAACTAAAATATGTATAGCTTAAAGGTAAACAAATAATTACTTGTGGTACACTTTAAAAAGTAATGACATAATCCGACATGAAGAATTGAGGCAATCCTCTCCGTTGGTCTTTTTACGTTGTATCAACAAAAGTTAAATTGCTTTTGCCTGATTGCTTTTTTAAAGTTCAGGCAACTTGATTTTCTCAACAGTAAAACTTTGTTTTAACTGAAGACATCCTCAAACTTTGATCAATGCTCTTATTCATCTTGAGTTGATTGCTTACTTATTTGAGCTGCTTCCATTGAAATTTAGTTTAACCCATTTGTTTAACTTGAATTGCTTTGTTGTATAGGCAATATAACATTTGTACATACAACATAACATTTGGGAATTGGCAGTCTTAGTAGTAGTAGCAGTAGTAGTGGTAGTAAAAAGCAGCCGCAGCAGTAGCATTTTGGGCGGCAGCAGCTCATTTGGTATAGTATTAGACTATAAGCCTGAAAGTTGTGGGTTCAAACCCATCGTGAGACCTACTCCACCGACTCCCACTGATGTCTGCTGTTGTTGTGTCCTTGGGCAAGACGCTTTACCTCACTTTGCCTATAAGAAGCCTAAAAGTAATTGTTTGCTGCATGCCTTGATGAGTGTATGTGTATTCATCGAACTGAAATTTTCTTAGTAGTCGCAGCAGCAGCCGCAGTAGTAGTAGTAGTAGTAGAATATACTTTTACCTGCATTGGTGGCGATCAGACCAGAGCTCAGACTAAGGAGACACATGAAAGCTGTGCCCTCCATCTTCGGGTATCTCTGTGTTTCTGCAAAAAGTCACAGTTCCTTTTAACAGAGTCTTGTTTCCTGTGGAACCTGTGACGCAGGAAATGATGCTGAATGTTTGTGGGACGAGAACTATACTTGCTTCTTTATTATGCTAAAGTTAGAGATTTTATTCTTGCTTCTTTATATGGAGCTATTATTGTTTCAATAATATTTGTGTGTGCGTAAACAGATTTGTGTGTGCGTAAACAGATTTGTGCGTGCGTAACCAGATTTGTGTGAGTGTAAAATAAATATTTGTGTGTGTGTAAAGGCAAGGCAAGGCAAGGCAAGTTTATTTGTATAGCACAATTCATACACAAGGCAACTCAAAGTGCTGAACAAGATGCATTAAAATCATAAATAATTACAGAACATTAAAACAAAAGATAAAAATATAAAATCCCTCAGTTGTATGCACAGCTAAACAGCACCGTTTTTAACCTGGTTTTAAACATTGTCAGAGAGGAGGCCTGTCTCACATCTTCAGGAAGATTGTTCCAGATTTTAGCAGCATGAATCTGAAAAGCAGCCTCCCTATGTTTAGTTCTGACTCTGGGCACTAACAGGAGTCCAGTCCCTGTGCTCCTCAGAGTCCGGGCTGGTTCATATGGGACTAACATGTCACTAATATATTTTGGTGTGAGGCCATGGAGAGACTTGTACACAAGCAGAGCTGTTTTAAAGTCTATTCTCTGAGCCACAGGAAGCCAGTGCAGAGACCTGAGAACTGGACTAATGTGGTCGTACTTCCTGGTTCTAGTCAGGACTCGAGCTGCTGCATTTTGAATGTACTGCAGCTGTTTTACAGCCTGTTTGGACAGACCTGTGAGCAGGCTATTGCAGTAGTCTAACCCAGGGGTTCCCAAAGTTTTTAGCCCGCGACCCCCATCATAAATGCCCTGCTAACCCGCGACCCCCGCCCCTCCCCAACAGTCCTTCCGTCACATGAATCAATCAATCAATCAAAGTTTATTTGTAGAGCGCCTTTCATACACAGGGCAACACAAAGCGCTTCACAGTCCACATCACAAATCATCACATAAAACAAACACCAGAATCACAATTAAAACATTAAAATCACACAAAAGATTAAAACACAATTAAAACAGTAAAATCACACAAAAGAATAAAACCATTAAAACTTTCAAAATTACACAAGAAATTTAAAAAAAATAAATAAATGACAGCAGTGCATTAAAAATGGAGATAAAATCCTTCAGTTATATGCACAGGCAAACAGAACAGTCTTTAACCTGGATTTGAACATTGACAGAGTAGACGCCTCCCTCACATTTTCAGGGAGATTGTTCCAGATCTTAGCTGCATGGATCTGAAACGCAGCCTCCCCATGTTTGGTTCTCACTCTGGGCACCAGCAGGAGGCCAGTCCCTGTGCTCCTCAGAGTCCGGGCCGGTTCATATGACACCAACATGTCACTAATGTATTCTGGTGCAAGGCCATGGAGAGACTTGTACACAAGCAGAGCCGTTTTAAAATCTATTCTTTGAGCCACAGGAAGCCAGTGCAGAGACCTGAGGACCGGACTAATATGGTCATACTTCCTGGTTCCTGTCAGGACTCTAGCTGCTGCATTTTGGATGTACTGCAGCTGCTTACAGGTCTGTTTGGACAGACCTGTAAGCAGGCCATTGCAGTAGTCTAGCCTGCTGGAGACAAATGCATGGACAAGAATCTCCAAGTCTGCCCTGGACACTATATTTCTAACTTTGGCAATGTTCTTCAGATGGTAAAAAGCTGTTGATGTTATTGATTTTATGTGGCTATTGAAATTTAGGTCTGAGCCCAGTATTACCCCCAAATTTCTGACCTTGTCTGAAGGAAGTAGGGAGAGAGACTGAAGTTGACAAATGACGCCCTCTCTTTGTTTCTGGGGACCAAAGACAATGATTTCGGTTTTGTCTGCATTTAGCTGGAGGAAATTATTTTGCATCCAGTCACTGATCTGTTGGATACAGTGAAGGAGCAAATCCAGTGGTCCATGTTCTCCTGCAGTCAGTGAGACATAGATCTGAGTGTCGTCAGCGTCGTCATGAAATGAGCATGTATTTCCTTGATACGGAGTAACGCTTTCTAGAGACTCACGCCACTACCGAGCTGCACTGTCCAGCCCAAAAAAGGAGGCTTGCATATTTTTACTCATGTAGTGACACAGTGATGGGCTTGGTGGGCTCCCTCCTCAGCAGAAGTGGAGCGCATTTCTTGCGGCTCGCCCTCACTGTTCTCCTACCGCGGTAAAGTGGGCCGGCTTTCCGGAGTCAGCGGTAAAGAGGTCCGCACATTAAAAGCGGGCGGCCGCTTTCTGCTGTTACTTTATGCGGTTCATCCCCGCGGCTTCTCTTTCCAAAGTTACTGTCAGTAAAGGCATAAACCGGCCACCCGCTTTTAATGTGCGGACCTCTTTACCTTTGACTCCGAAAATCCGGGCCTCTTTAACGCGCTGTTCTGCCGCTGTCCTCCCTCCCTCCGCTGCCCTCTCTCCCTCCTTTGCCCTCTCTCCCTCTCTTCGCACCATCAGCGTGACCCCTGATACAAGTGACTTTTCTCCCCCTCCGGGTTTTTCTGTTGTGGATATTAACCACGTTTCATTTTAAAGCAGGTATTATTTATTTGTAGCCTCCAAACACCTTTAGTTTTAGCAAACAACAGCAGGACACGCTTTGTCGCTGCGCATGATGTGAGCTGTGTCACGGGATGATTTTGATTGACGCTGCAATGACTGGGACAAAATTACTAACGTTATTAAAATATATTATAGTCTCCAAACACAATTTAACAAGTAGTCCTTTTGAATCAAATCAAATGCTAAATAAATATTTAAGGGCTTTATATTTACTCAAAAAAAAAAAAAATCTTTTTTTTGTGTGTGTGTGGAAATCATCTTGCGACCCCCCCTATGGGTTCCCGCGACCCCCCGGGGGGTCGGGACCCCCACTTTGGGAACCACTGGTCTAACCTACTGGAGACAAATGCATGGATAAGAATCTCCAGGTCTGCTTTAGACACTATGTTTTTGATCCTGGCAATGTTTTTTAGATGGTAAAAAGCTGCTGATGTTACTGATTTGATGTGGCTATTAAAATTTAAGTCTGAGTCCAGTATTACCCCTAGATTTCTGACCTTGTTTGAAGGTTTTAGGGAGAGAGACTGTAGATGACAGATGACGCTCTCTCTTTGTTTCTGGGGACCAAAGACAATCATTTCAGTTTTGTCTGCGTTTAGCTGAAGGAAGTTGTTTTGCATCCACTCACTGATCTGTTGGATACAGTGAAGGAGTGAGTCCACTGGTCCATGTTCTCCTGCAGTCAGTGAGACATAGATCTGAGTGTCGTCTGCATAGTTATGATAGGAAACTTTGTTTCTGCGTATTAACTGACCTAACGGCAGCATGTAAAGATTGAACAGAAGAGGTCCCAGGATCGACCCCTGTGGGACTCCACAGGTCAGGGCCATAAGATCTGAGACACAGTTTCCAATCTCCACAAAGTACTTCCTGTCTTCAAGGTAAGACCTAAACTAACTTAGGGCGGAGCCAGCGACGCCAACCCAGTCCTCTAGTCTCTGTAAGAGGATCTCATGATCGACAGTGTCAAAGGCAGCACTTAGATCTAACAGGATTAGGATTGAGACTTTGTCTGCGTCAGTGTTCAGCCGGATATCATTTGTAACCTTGACGAGAGCAGTCTCACTGCTGTGGTGGGGTCTAAAGCCGGACTGAAACATATCAAATGAGTTGTTGATTATAAGAAATCTAGTAAGCTGTAGGTAGACAACTTTTTCAAGGACTTTCTCCATAAATGGCAGATTTGAGATGGGACGATAGTTGTTAAGTACCGTAGCATCCAGACTGCTCTTTTTTAGCAGGGGCCTGATGACTGCAGTTTTCAGGGCCTTTGGGAATATTCCAGAATCAAGGGACATGTTTACTATCTGTGTGAGTGAAGGTAACAGACTGCTCAGAACAGACTTTAGAAATATAGTGGGTAGTACATCCAGGCTGCATGTGGAGGAGCTCAAACTGGAGATTATCTCTTGGACAGTTTGATCATTTACAGGTGCAAAGTAAGTTAGCTCAAAGAGCCTTTCTGGCTGTTGGATTGTTATCTGTGGATTGGAGACAATGGCGTTTTTGATGCCTTGAACCTTGTCATTGAAAAAATGTGCAAACTCATTACATTTACGTTTGGAAGTTAGCTCTAATGGCATTTGAACAGGGGGGTTTGTTAATCTATTAACTGTTGAAAACAGAACACGCAGATTGTTGCTGCAGCCTTCAATCATTTCAGAAAAATACCTTTCTCTCGTACTACGTAGCACCTGGTTAAACTCGCACAACTTATCTTTGAAGATCTTGTAATCAACCTGGAGGTTGGACTTGCGCCACTTCCGCTCGGCCTTCCGGCACTCTCTCTTTTGTGCCCTGACCGAGTCTGCTTTAGCCCACGGCGCCTTCTGCTTATTTTTCACTATTTTAACCTTCACAGGAGCGATGGTGTCCAGAACTTTCAAAACACTAGAGGTGACAGAGTTAAACAGTTCATCTACAGTAGAATACGATGCATTCCCATAAATAGTTCACCCGTATTTTCATTTATGTGTCTTCTTCGTACAGTTGCAGAGTCCACTGGTGGTTTGTTAGTGAAACACATGTCAAAAAAATATACAAAAATGATCCGAAAGCGCAACATCGACCACGTTTACATTAGAAATGTTCACCCCCTTTGTAACTAACAGGTCTAGAGTGTGCCCTCTGCTGTGGGTGGGGCCACTCACATGCTGAGTGAGACCAAAAGATTCAAGAACAGAACTCAGCTCTTTAGCATTTCTGTCATCAACATTATCCACATGAATATTAAAATCACCTGTAATAACTAAACTATCAAAATCTGTGCATACAACTGAAAGCAACTCTGTAAAATTATCAATAAAACTGTGACATGACTGCGGTGGCTTGTATAGGA